GGTGGGGGGTGGCACACACCTTTAATCCCAGCACTTGGGAGACAGAGGCAGGCGGATCTCTGAGTTCAAGGCCAGCCTGGACTTCAGAACTAGTTCCAGGACAGCCAGGGCTACACAGAAACCCTGTCTCAAGAAACCAAAAAGACAAAAAAAGGAAACAAGCAAACAAAATGAGGAAAACAGAGAAATGAGTTTAATGGAGAGATGTCCAAAAAGGCTGAGAAAGGCGGATGCACAAAGATGCCAATAACAGCCTTGGAAGCTGTGAGGATGGGATGGGATGCAGGATGATACCCATAATCCCAGCACTCGGGAGGCCGAGGCACAAATACCAACACAAGTTCCAGGCCAGCCTGGGCTGCATGGGAAGAGTCCATCTCAGAACGCCAGCAAAGGAGAAGAGAACAAAAAGCAGGTAGCAACACCAAGACCTCAGACTTGCTCAAAATAGGAAGTTTCCAGAAAGAGAGAAAGCCGAAGACCTCTGGATGAAGGACAAGGCCAGGCCTGTCCTGGATCCTTGATTGCCTCCCCATGTGGTGAAAACAGTCTGGCTAGTTCTTCCTTAACTGTCCAGCTTAGCTCACTTGTCACCATCCGGGAAGCCTCCCTGTCTCCCAGGCTGCATGAAAGGTCATTTCTGGGTTCCCACAGTCCCCTGGACTCCTTCACCCCAGCCTTGCCCATTTTCACCACCGGACTGTGAGCCCCGAGGGGAAGGCCAGGGCTGTCTTGATTATCGATATGCCCACAGCATCACCCAGCCCAGGGCACAAATAAACGGGATCCTTACCCTCAGTAAAAAACATCTCAGCCACCATTGTGTGACAAGTCCTGGGTCAGACATTGTAGTGTGGACCGTGAATGCCGCTTCTGTCCCCAGAAACTACCATTCAGATGAGAGACAGAGACCCTTAAAACATCAGCCCTGGGAGCTTAAGTCACCGGAAAAGATGGGTCAGGCAAAGGGATCGAAGGTTGATATTTTTAGAACAGATTCATTGAGTAATAAAGGAAAAGAAGGAGCAAGCCTAGAGAAGTCCGTGCGGCTGACATGTGCAAAGGCCCTGAGGTAGTAAGCTGCTTGATTCCTCACAGAAGCAGCCGTGAGCCAGAGCAAGTGGACAGACAGGCCGACTCAGAGACCCCACAAAGGGGGAGGCCACCTAAGGACCGAGGGACAACCAGGGACAATGGATACAGACAGCGGACGGCAATGTGGTGGAGAAGTCCTATTCTTTCCAGAACCTTCCCCACAAGCCTCCCAGGCCCTGGAAAAAAATAATTCTGGGTCCCCCGTCTGCCTCCCTGTGCCCTGCCCACTCACACCTCGGGCAGAGGAAGCTGGCAAGCCCCACAGGAACCTTTGTGTTGGGGGGCGGGGGCAGTGAGTGGGGCGGGTGGCAGGGACGAAGGGAGAGGAGCGCCTGCCGAGCAGGCGGGCAGCGGGCAGTCGCTACACAAAGGCCCCAGTGTCTGCCCCTCCTGCCCCCATGCAGATATAAATAAGATGTGCATATACCTTTTTATATATACCAGCGGGCTGGGGCAGAGGCTGGGGGCCGCTCTGTCCCCACAGGGCCAGGGCACCGCAGAGCCCGCCGCCGCTGTGGCCAAGACTTGAACTAAGGACGGAGAAGCTTCCACGGTGAAGAGCAGCCTGAGAGCCCAGACTCGGAAAGTGACCGAGTAGCCGATTCTGAAGTTGGAGACTAATCTGAGAAACAAACTGGGCCGGCAAGAGGAAAAAGGATGGAGAAGAGGGTTATGGCAGGGAACGTCGGAGCCGCGGGGACTCAGGCGAAAGGACGTAGGTACAGAAAGAAAGGAAGAGATTAAAATACTGGGAGCACGGGTATGGTGACCTGTAACCCCAGCACCTGGGTAGTGAAGTCAGGAGGAGTGAGTTCCCAGTCCTCCTGGGCTGCAAACGGAGTCTGAGACCAGCCTGGGCTACATATCTCAAACAAGCAAAACATCCCCAATCCATTAAAAAAAAGATAAAGAAAAGTAAAAAACAGGCTAGGCATGCAGTTCCTTTGTCAGAGTGTTCGACTAGTGCGTAAGAAGCTCCGGGTTCAATACCCAACACCTCCTAAGCTGGGCATGGTGGCCCGTGCCTGCAACGCTACAGCATTATGGCCGTAGAAGGAAGAGGAACAGGAGTCCAAGGTTATCCCGGCTACATAGTGAACTAACTCCAGGCCAGCCTGAGCTACATGAGACCCTAGAGGGGTAGTTCTCAACCTGTGAGTCATGACCCCTTTGGGATGGGACCTTTTCACAGGGATCACCTAAGAACATACGCATACCAGATATTACGTTACAATTCATACAATTACGTTCATTTTTCTTAAGAGACATAGACTCACATGCAGCAAAATTACAGTTCCCAAGTAGCAGCGAAAATAACTTGATGGTTGGCGGTCACCACCACATGAGGAACCGTATTAGAGAGTCTCAGCATCAGGAAGGTTGAGGACCTCGGCTCTAGAGACAGACAGACAGACAGACAGAGAGACAGAGGCCAGGCTAAGGCTAAAGCTGGGGGCTGTGGGTACGGGGAAGCTGGGGGCTGTATGTCAGCGGGCTGTGGGCCAGCTGGGCTGGGCGCAGCTCGAAGGCTAAGGAGCAGAGGTGAGGGAGGGCCCCGGGCCTCCGGATCCTCGTGTTTACCTGAGGCAGGCATGGCAAACAGGCGTCCAGCCTGGACCACAGCAGCCAGGGTAGGCAGGGCCGGGCCGCAGTCCTGGCACCAGCGGACCCGACACGCCCACCTGTGGCCTGAGTGGTGAGTAACACACACACTGGCACCAGGGTAGATGGTGACACATTCGTGGACAGACACAGTGACGCACAGTGACCGATATAGGCAGGTCGGCCGTGACAGGTCTGAAGGACCGGGACCCAGGAAAAGAGAGTGGCAGGTAAAGGCGTTTTTATGTGTAGGGCCTGTGACAGGCACCCAAGAGACAGGCAGAAGCACACACACCAGCATGCTAAAAGACTCGTCACAGATCAAGAGAGAAGCCACGTCAAAATGGTACCAAGAAATACAAAGAGCTGTACAACAAACAGGACCCGAACACACACACACACACACACACACACACACACACACACACACACACACGCTCACACACCCGAGAACGACCCACAGCTGGCCTCTGTCTGTGAGGCTTCTGCTATACCAAGTTGAGGCAGGATGTGGAGGGTGTCCTCTAGAACAGTGGAGGTCCAGGACACTGAGTCTAGGCCAGATGGCCTGCCTAGGACCCCAATCATTAGCTGTGGGGCCTTGATCAAGTCAAGACACCTTTCTACCTCAGCTTTTGCCCTTAATAAAGTGAGGGGCCCTAGGAAAAAGGATTATTCAAATGACTCATTTCTTGCCAAGTTGTTTTTTTTCTTAAGAGACATAGACTCACATGTAGCCTAGGTTAGCCCCAACCCAGTAACCCTCCTGCCTCTCTACCTCTTTTGAGTGCTGAGAACCACAGGTGTGGGCCACTTCCATGGCCATTATCTCAAAGTGTCCCGTGTTTATAGAGCCCTGCGCCCAAGCAGGGACCCCCCCACACCCCCTCCCGCCCCCTAGCCTCAGTTTCCCACCCCCAGGGCTTTTCCTTAGACTATGTCCCTCCAGCCCCACAACCGAGCCCTCCCCAAGTCCTCATGCCCTCCTGTCCCCATTCCCGACCCATCCCTCATCTCGGGCGTCCCACGTCTGCCGGTGGTACTTTTCCACGTTGGACACCAGCCGGCTGTCCCTGGGGTGGGGGGTCACACCTGCCCACGCCAGGCGAGGCCAGGCGAGCTGGTGGCCACCAGACACCCCGACGGATGGCCCCACCCTCCCCTATGGACCCTACAACAACACCCCCCTCTCCCTCTCAGGCCACCTGAGGTCCCCAATGGGGCAGCCTGAGGCCCGAGCCTGGGGACAGGAAGCCCCAGGCCTGGCTGCCTTGAAAGCCTCTTTCAACCCGGGCCTCCTCCCGCCGCCACCGACTCCTCCTGCGGAATAATATTTGGGCTGTTGGCCGGGGGGCGGGGGCCAGATCCGGAGGCCGCCGGGGAGAAGCCAGAAACCGCAGGGCTTCCTGCCTCGGGCCGGCGACCCCCAGCCCCGGGGGGGAGGGCCGGGGCCCGGGGAGACTGAGGGCCTTTCTCTCGGCCCCAGTTGTTTTTTCCAGGAACCGGGAGGAATTCCCCAGGACAGCCAGGCTGGTGGGACCGCTGTCAACTGGGAGCCAGCAAGGCAGGGGGCGGGGGGTGACATGCAGCCCGGGCGGGCGAGGCGGGACTGCGACAGAAATAGAGGGACCCGCCTGCCTGCCAGGCGGCAGGTAGAGGCGGAAACTCTGAACCGGGAGAGGGAGGGAGGCCAGAGAAGGAGAGAGCCAAGGGGTGGCCAGCCAGAGTGCGGGCGGGCGACAGAGAATGACGGTGTGGACCTAGCTCAGTAGGTGAGTGCCTGCCCGGCTTGTTCCAGGAGCTGGGTCCCATGCCCAGCACCGCCGAATACACCAGAATACATCAGTGTTAATAACCAGGTGTGCACGCCGGGAATCCTGGCCCGTGGAGGGCAGAGTTTCAGCACCCCGGACTAGAGTATGAGACCCTTTTTCAAAAATAAGGAAAAATGAGGAGCCTCAGGGCTCCAGGTGTGTGTGTGTGTGTGTGTGTGTGTGTACGTGTGTGTGTGTGTGTGTGTGTGTGTGTGTGTGTGTGTGTGCCTGCAAAGTGGGGGTGGGGCGGTGGCCTTGGTCACTTGCAAAGCCACCTCCCCTCTGGCTCCACTTCTGCGGGGGCTGCTATCTATGAACAAACTGTCCTTGGGGTCAGGGACACTAAAGAGACAAAGGTCACATGGCTGCTTTCCCCCAGCCCTTCCCCCCACAGAGGCCACCAGCTCCCCGGCAAGGGAAGATCACAGGGGAACACAAACTGAGGTGTCTGAGCCCCACAGGGCCCACCGAGGAAAAGAGACACTCAGAGACCGAGAAGGTGCCTTTTTAATGGTCAGACGCAGCCGGTATCCCAAGTCCCAGGCAAGAACTTGACCTCTGTAAAGAGTTCCCCACACCCATACCAGACCTTTCTCGCCGCCAGGGTTGGGGGCGAGCCTCAGAGAAAAATCACAGGGTCTCCTCACCTCCACCCCTCACCCAACCCCCACCAAGGAGATGGTGATGGCAGGCCTGTGGTGACCATCACGGTGCGTCACCTTGCCAGTGGGGTGGCCCCTCCGTGCATCCAGTGTGTCAAAAAAGACATCGTGTGATCGATATGGTGGCCAACCTGGCATCTGTTGTACCGAGAAGTCTGCCCCCCCCCCCAAAAAAAAAGTGATCCCAGGAGACAGTGGGCCGAAGAAGTGTGACTGCCACATACTGGAAAGATCAATCAAGATGTCCATCGCAGCCTCCAAAGGTCCAAACAAGATGTCACCCAGCATGGCCATGCCTCCGCGGACCAGCCAGTGGCCTCACTCCATCTGGAAGCTTTCACTGTACACCCAGCACAGCGACCTTCACGCTACCACCACCCGCGGCCCACCAGGGGGTCCGTGGCAGTTACCACAGCAGCCGATGGGTCCTCACAGTTCTAGACCAAATAAGATGTTAATCAGCGGGACAAGCAGAGTGTGACCGGAAGGACCAGGGCCCAGGAACCTGGTGTCCGTCCCAGCTGGCCCCATCACCGTGCTCCCAGTCACCGCGCTAGGACGCATTAAGCAGGGACCGGGAGTAGAGGCTCTGGTAGTACACCCCTGGGTCCCCGCTCTCGGCCCCGTAGCCCCCAAACCCCATGTCCAGTTTGGAAGGCGCTGGTGTCTGTTCTGACATCAGGTTGTTGATGGAGAACGGGTGGTTGAAGTTGTAGGGGGCGTCCAACTTCAGTTCCCCGGGGAGCTCCAGGCCAGTGAAATAGGGCGTGGAGGAAGAAGGGGAGGCGCAGTCCAGACCCCCCACGTCCTCCCCGCTCTGGGCCTCGGGCTCAGGGGGAGCAGGCTGCGGCTGAGCCTGGGAGGTGACCGCTGTGGCCGTGGCGGCTGCAGTCGCGGCGGAGGTGGCCGGCCCCACCGCCCCACTCCTGGGGGTAGATGCAGCTCCGTTTCCTTTCTTGACTTTCTCCTCCAGCTTGAAGCGTTTCTGACGACGAAGGTAGCAGCCGTTCTCAAACATGTTCCCGGAGCTGGGGTGCAGGGCCCAGTAGGAGCCCTTGCCCGGCTTGTCTGGGGAGCGCGCCACCTTGACAAAGCAGTCATTGAAGGACAGAGAGTGGCGGATGGAGTTCTGCCAGCGCTGCTGGTTCTCCCGGTAGTATGGGAAGAGGTCCATGATCCACTGGTAGATCTCGCTCAGGGTCAGCATCTTGCCTGGCGCCTGCTGGATGGCCATGGTGATGAGAGAGATGTAGGAATATGGTGGCTTGGCGTGGGCCAGCGGCCGCCGGTACCCCTTTGCCATCTCCTTTCCGTGGGCCAGCCCGGGCCCGGGGGCGCCATACCCGGAAGTATTGCTTCCAGCGTTGCCGCCCGCACCCAGGCCCGGGAAGGTGGGCCCCAGGGGCGCTGTGGGGGCTGGGGGTGCCAGGGGTCCTGTAGGCAGCGGGGAGGCCTGCAGCCCTCCTGGAGGGTAGGGAGAGCTGAGAGGGTTCAAGGTCATGTAGGAGTTGAGAGGGGCCATGGTGGGCACGGGAGTCACCGGAGAGTACACCTGCGGGGAAAGGAATGGAGATCCATCAGTGGATTTTCACCCTCCTGCTCGGCCCAGGGGCTCTGGAATACGGGTCCACTCACTCACGGGTGTTTGAAGACAGATTCACACAGCCCTAACCAGCCTCACTCTGCAACCAAGGATGACTCTGAATTCCTGATCCTCCTGTCTCCGCCTCCCGATTGCTGGGAATGCAGGTGTGGGCCATCATGCCCAGCTCACTGCCCGGTCTTGCCTTGTCTGTGAGTCCTTTCCATCATTGCCTCTCTCTGGAGGCAGCTGCCTCCCCAGATCACGTCCCCCTGTTTTCACTCCAGGGTTGTACCCCCTAAACCATACATTCAAGGTCAAGTTTGAACGCGGGTTTTTGAAGTGTAGGTGGTCTGAAATTACCCTGGGGGAGTCTCTCAAACTGTTTTCAGGAATCCACCAGGTCAAGGCCATTTTCCTGTTTTATGTTGGTGGCTTAGAGACACGGTCTCACTGTGTAGAACGGGCTGGCTTCGAACTTAAAGAGATCCATCTGCCTCTGCCTCCTGAGTGCTGAGTGCGCCACCACACCTGGCTAAGCCCGCTCAAGTCCATTTTCAAAATCACAGTGAAGTATCAGGTCTACCAGGCATGGCGGTACAGGCCTGTCATCCCAGCTACCTGGGAGGCTAATGATCCCAAATTTGGGACCAGCCTGGGCCTCAGAGAGACTTCCAGAACAGCCTGGACAACTTACTGGGGGCTGGGGGCGTGGCTCAGTGGTAGAGCCCCTGCCTAGAATCCCCCAGTGAGGGGCTGGGGTGTGGCTCAGTGGTAGAGCCCCTGCCTAGAATCCCCCAGTGAGGGGCTGGGGGTGTGGCTCAGTGGTAGAGCCCCTGCCTAGAATCCTCCAGTGAGGGGCTGGGGGTGTGGCTCAGTGGTAGAGCCCCTGCCTAGAATCCCCCAGTGAGGGGCTGGGGGTGTGACTCAATGGTAGAGCCCCTGCCTAGAATCCCCCAGTGAGGGGCTGGGGGTGTGACTCAATGGTAGACTACTTACCTAGCATACAGGGGGGCCTGGATTCACTCTCTAGTAAGTAAAAAAAGAAAAGTTTCGTCCACCTTTTGTACCCTCTTTCATATGAGTGTATAATGAGCTTTTCATTGATCTGTGACATCTGCTCTTGCAATAGACCAAAGGTCTAGAATGTACTCTCACATCTTGCCAGCTGTGTGGTAGAAGAAGAAGATAGCGTCTCTCTTCTCACTAAATTTTATTTATTTATTTATTTATTTATTTATTTATTTATTTATTTATTTATTTATCTTTGAGACAGAACCTCACTGTGTAGCTAACCCTGTTCTCAAGCTTACTATTCTTTTTAAACAGTATCTGAAACCCCTTAGTTATACTAACACACGACCGTTATTTTAAACTAAATTAGGGCTGGGTGGTGGTGTGGGTGGCGCACACCTTTAATCCCAGCACTCAGGAGGCAGAGTGGATCTCTGTGAGTTCAAGGCCAGCCTCCTCTACAGAGTGGGTTCCAAAATAGCCAGGGTCACACAGAGAAACCCTGTCTCAAAAAAATAAAATAAATACACCCCCCCAAAAAAAATAAAACTAAATTAAATTAGGGGTCAGCAAATGGCTCAGTGAGTAAAGGCGCTTGCCCCCAAGCCTAACAGCACGAGTTCGATCCTCAGGACCTACATGGTGGAATGAGAGAGCCAATTCCTGAAAGTTGTCCTCAGACCTCCACACTTGTACCACGACCACGACATTTGTGTGGTCACACACACACACACACACACACACACACACAATAAATAAGTGTAAATAAATACAGTTTTACATTCATGCCTATTTTTAAATTTTAATTTTTTTTAAAGTCTCACTTTTGAATACAATTATCAGTGGACATACCCCAGATCTATGGAACTGGAGCAGGCCTGCTAGCACAGGCCTGCGATCCTAGCAAGTGGGGAAGAGGGGCAGGAGGCCATCTAGCAAAAGACTCTAAAAAACAAAGCCAGGAAATTGTTTGGGGTCTTCAGTATCTATCCATCTGTCTGTCTGTCTATCTATCTATCTATCTATCTATCTTTTTATTTTATTTACTTTTTCCCCCAGTTTTTGGAGACAAGGTTTTGGTGCCTGTCCTGGAACTCCCTCTGTAGCCCAGGCTGACCTTGAACTCACAGAGATCCTCCTGGCTCTGCCTCCCGAGTGCTGGGGTTAAAGGCGTGCACCTCGCTTCTTCAACAGTTTTTTAATATCGTAGAGAAGTTTGAGGGCTGGAGAGAGGGCTCAGGAGTTAAGAGCAAATCCTGCCCTTCCCGAGGTCAGGAGTTCAGTTCCCAGTACCCACACTGGGTGCCTCATAACTGCCTATAATTCTAGCCCTAGAGGGTCCGACACCTCTGCCCTTGAGCACTTGCTCTCAAGGGCGCATAACCACACACATATACATACTAAAGGTTATCTCTCAAACATAAAAATAGGTTGTAAATGTCCCCTTGTTGGGCACAGTGGTACCTGACTTTAATCCCAGCACTCGGGAGGCAGACACAGGCGATCAAAGCCAGCCTGGTCTACACAGCAACTATCAGATTAGCCAGGGTTTCATACTGAGAGACCACCTTAAAAAAGAAAAAAGAAAAAAGAGGTCCTGAGCACAGTAAAATTGAGAAATCAATCAAAATTAGCCAAGTCAGCTGAAAATTGATTTATGTAACAAATCAGTGGTTTTCCATTTTTTCTTATTCCTTTTTTAAAATTTATTTTATGGATATGATTGCTTTGCTTGCTTGTATGGATGGATGTATATCACATGAGTGCCTGGTGGCCAAGGAGGCCAGAGAGGGTGTCAGATCTCCATTTCCTGAAAGTAGTCTTCTCTCCAACGGTGTGTGTGTGTGTGTGTGTGTGTGTGTGTGTGTGTGTGTGCAGCACACACATACAGAAACATATACATGCATGTGCAAACACACACAGAAACACACACATGCATATGCACACACATGCATGCACAAACACACACAGAAACACACAGACGCATATTCACACACACACACATTCACACACACGCACTCTTGCACACTCATGCAGAAACACACTCATGCATGTCCAAACACACACACTTCTACTTATATAAATAAATGAATTTGAAAAAAATTTACAAGTGCACCCCATTTTCAAAAACGTTCACATGTGCCCTTAGCTCAGCGAGATACGGCACACACTGGTGTGTTTTCCAGAATCACAGGCAGTCTCACGGTGGTGGCTCACACCTGTGGTGCTGGCACTCGGGGCCAAGGCAGGAGGATCAATGTGCACTGAAGAAAAGCCTGGGTTCTACATTGAAATGCTTTTTCTGATAACAAATCAGCATCTTTTTTGTTGCTCAGATTCCTCTCTGTTTTTCTTTTCTTTTTTTTTTTTTTTGTTTCTTTTTTTTCCTGAGACAGGGTTTCTCTGTGTAGCTTTGCGCCTTTCCTGGAACTCACTTCGTA